TATTTTGAATCTGAAAAGAGCTTCACTGAGTGAGAAGTAGTTAGGAGCTCAGCAGACTGTTTCAGTTTCACTTTTGCTTTGTTACTGCCGAGAGCCTGCAGAAGTCATGGGGTGGGGAGGTGTGCTCCGTGATGAGGAAGCTCAGCTTAAGGACACATCCCAGGGGCGTTTCTGGTCCCCACCTGTCGTTTTGCAACTCAGCATGGTTTACTAAAAACACTGCATGATTTCTCAAACATGCCTGAATGAGTCAAAGCAAGGCTTTGGGCATGTTTTTATGAGAGTATAAAATTATAACATGATATAAAACTCAAAAAAGTTGATTTTACATGATATTGCCCCTTTAAGATGTATTTAAATCAGTCAGCTGATCAATGCCAACAAAAGTGATTGGTTCAGACACGCTCCGTCGTGCGTCTGGAGGATGACAGGAGCTGACTGACAGCTGCTCACGTGAACAGAATGTCTGTAATTTACACTGCTTTTCCCTCATTTTGCAGGTTTACAGATGTTTAGAGCAATCTAATGATTTTTTTTTTCAAAAAAACTCAGCTTTAAATTAATTTTCTCAGAGTCTGCAGGACAATAAAACAATAAATAAAACTAAATAAGTCAGAGATAGTTTGAAATAAGTTCACCACTCTTCTCCCTCATCCTCCCCCTCCTGCCTGCTCTGTTATCTGCAGCTAACGGTCTCCTCAACCCCCTCACACATCTCCACAGCCTCGTGTGTGTGAGAGAAATACGGACTTTAAAAAAAGTGAACTTTTATAATATCCATGGCGAGGGGTGCGCCCTGTGTGATTACCCAAGTGTGACTTTTGCTGTCGTGCTGTTGAAATGTCTCTTGTCGAGGAGGGGTCTGTGGGTCAGGGTCGTGAGGAGGAAAGAGATGAATGGAGATGTGTGAACTTTTATTTAAGATTTAAGTTGGCTTAGAATTTCTTTTTTATTTGAAAGATCCTTATGGCTCACCAGCAGAAGCCTAAATATTACTGTTAAGAAAGCTAAAGTCAATCTAAAATCTAAGTCTGATTCTGAAGGTAAATTAAATGTCTGACAGTGATCATTACACAGTGTGGCTCTAATTCACCACTTCACCATCTGTGTCGCAGTTTCCCCTCTCCAAAACAAGCGTACGCATGGGTCAGAGCTGACATGAGGCACCGCACATTTTCACGTTAAGTTTGGATTTTATAAATCCGACCTCTGGTCCTTTGAAGTGGGCCTGACTTCCACCTAACATCACGTTCCACATGTCATTGCTACGGCTAAGCAACGTTAACAAACGATAACTCAGCTTCATGTGGTGTTTCCTGCATAGAGATAATGTTTTAACWCTTTCTCTTATAAACACTATACTATTAAAAGTAAAAGTAAGAGTTTTACTCACTGTGAATTCTGAATTCTCCCACTTTCCAATAGGAAAATCCCACGTTCCAGTTTAAATTTTATGACCAGTACAACTGCAACGCAACCAAAGTAGCTGGTGAAAATGCAGTGAAAAGGGGATTTTACACGGCGAGTTTTACTGGCTACCAGACAGTCTTCTTTTGAACCCTGTGCACCTCCACCCAGTGGTGGGAGTAAAATAATTGACATGCATTATGGGAGATGTGGTTTATGGTTAATTCTGGCTTTAAAGCCATCATTATATCTTTGAAGCTCTCGCGGGCCACATGAAATGCCTTGGAGTGCCACATTTTACGTGTTGGCCTTGACTTTGCTACATGAGCTAGAGGGTATCTGCAGAGCTATGAGGCTGATGAACACCTCTTACTGTGCAGTTGTAGCAGTGTACAGTACATCCAGACTGGGCAGCAGGTTAAAGAATTTCTAGTCACATCTTTCATTTCTAACTTTTCCTGTTGTTCTTCRTAAGCTAAAATAACACAGATGTTATGGTTTAATCAGAAGTGCTTCATTTAAAAACCAGGGTTTTATTTAATTAAACAATAATGATGTGTTTTGAAAGTGTCTTAATGAGACAATTTTCTGTCAGAATTTCATTTTTTACTCTTTCTGACAACCAAAATAAAATTGTGTGGGTAGAAGCAGCTTTAATGGGAATTTAGTTATAATAAACTTTATTATAAGAGCTCACGTTCAAGCTGTAGACTTCTTTCACCACTTAATGTTTTTTAATCCAATTTATTTATTTATTGTGATCTACAATATAGACATTTTAAAGTTAACAAAAATATGATAAACTTGCTCTTAAAGACTTAATCCATGTGTTAATGCTCATTAACTGAAACCATTATTATTTAGTAATATTCATTATGTTTTCATGTTCTCCTAAAGTTTCTCCAGCATCATGCAAGAAACCCTGCAGGATCTGGCCCCGCAGTGTCAGGTGACCTTCCTGAAGTCGGAGGATGGGAGCGGGAAAGGAGCAGCTCTGATCACCGCTGTGGCCTGTAGGGTCAAGAGTGAGGGGCAGCACTGAGTCCTGCAGACAGAAACACACTTACTGTGACTTATTGTCTTCAAATCCATATGAAATGTTACTGAAACACTGATCTGAATGATTTTTAATCTTGTAGAAAGCTTTTATTCTTTTACATGTAGGCGTCTGTACTGTATCTGCTGAGTGAATTAGGTCAGATGATGAGGTAAAGAGGCTGCAACTTCTGGAAGATGTCACCRTTACCAGATTTTTGTTTTGTTTTTGCTAACACTCCCTGATAATCTTTTATTTTTAAACCCAGGCTTTATTTTCTCCTGCCTTCGTACACTTTTTAAATGAAGTAAACTTTAGTTTAACTCACCAATAAATGACATAACCAATAAAATGCACCCGGCTTATTTTACTTGGCTTGTTCTAGTTTTTATTTGAGAAGAAATAATTGTTTGTTACAGAGGGTAATCCAGTTTTTACTCTTGGTGACTTTAAACTATTGTGACTTTGTTTTGACTTCATGTGTGAAACTTTCCTACTGTTTTCTGTAAAAGATTCAAAGATGTAATAAAACGGTTTTGTGTTCTAACTTTACTCTGAATTCCTGTCTGAACGGGGATGCTCATATAACTGGAACAGAGATAAATGAAAGGAAAATAAAGATCATTAATGAACACAGAGACTGAGCAGTCACAGGGGTCTCATCATGTTCAGCTGAAGGAGAAGAACAGTTAAACCATGATGATTCAGAAGCAGAGGGGTGGTATTAGAAACTCTTGTTTTATCTTGGAGGCAGAGAGAATAAAAACTGCAATAAGAAAAAAGTGTTTATTCATCACTGGACTGGCTGATTTAAAAAAAATAGTTTTCTTTTTGCTAAATATATTTACTCTTAAATCATGCAATTATACAAGAAAAAAAGCACACATGTTAAATCTGTCATTTAGCTCTTAAAATACTCTTAATTATAAAAGCCATTGTCTGAACCTGAGTTCATTCATTTGTTGGCAGTAATTTTTGCTTTTTTATATTAAAAAGGGACAAAATGGACCTGGATGTGTTATCTGTGTTAATTCACACTAACTGTCCATTTTTTCTTCATTTTTCTAAACTTCTGCATGCTTTTACTGTTTTAACTCAATATATCAACACCTTCAGCTCATTAAGGAGAAAGGTGCTCTGACTTGTTTTTTCTACTTTTATGCCTTTCAAACTATTTAACTATTTAAAACCATTCTCTGTAGAAATACATAGAGATCTCTTTGAAATCTGCTTCTTCATACTATTTTTGATGTTTCTGTTCTACTTTGAAGTTTTAGCTAATATTCCACTGTTTTGTTTTTACCTAGCTGTTTCTTGCATTCCACTTCTTTTTTTTACTTTTGGATAACCTTTTATTTTATTTTTTTATTATTTTTTTCGCCTTTAGCTTTAGGTAGCATTGTGCTCCCAACTACATTTTAGGGAGCCTTTTGCTACTTTCTAGTGTTTTAGCTACTTTAAGCTTTTATCTTTCCATTTTGTACTTTTTGCTCCTAGATAGTCTTTTTATTTTGCTAGTTTTAGCTCTTGCCTGTTCTTTTGCCACATTCAGGTTTTAGCTCGAATTTACCTTTACCCTGTGTTTAGCTTTTTTAAAATTTTAGCTTTAACTACTTGGTTTCAACTTCTTCAGAAAAATGTATAGTACAATCATTCAGTACCCAGTGCTCACTACATTTTCACAGAAATGTTTATGCCTAAAGATTTGTCTGTGCTGAGAAGATTCAGCTGTTTGAGTTTAGTGAATGTTCTCTGATTAGCTCACCACTGCTAAAAATGTCTGTCWTGAATTTCGACGCTCCACGAGAATTAAAGCATTAAAGCTTTAACCTGTTAGTTGGCATTCACTTAATACACATCATTCATGTCCAAACGTCTACAGTAGGGCTGTSCAAAYATTTTGTCACCTGGGCCAAAATCATAAAGTCAGAAGGACTTGAAGGCCAAAAATATTTTTCCTTTACATGCTCAACAATAAACTAAGCATTGAATACTTTAATTAAACCAATAAAGTAGTCAGATTTATTGCTGGAAATGGATGTGTAAATTAATATAGATTAATCAATTTGCAGGTTTCCTTTATTGAAAGAAATTTAGCAATTTTCTAGGTTTCAATTGGGGGGGGGAATAACCCAATTTAGTCAATTCTGATCAATAAAATCAGGATTTAGGTCACTTTCGTGAAAATGCTTGCTGCATTCAGACAGATTTTATAAATTGATTAAAAGCAGATTTAAGTGCAGCAAAATCAGCTTTTGAGTAGAAGTCACCAGATAGAGTGGAAAAAGCTACGAGTCTGATTATTTAAAGATAAATGGTATTGTTGCCAATATTTTTTTTTTGAAAGATTTTACTTTGTGATAAATTTGCCCTAATAATAAATAAAATGTCTCCATCTACATCAAACACCTGTGCAGGGAAGATAAATTTGTAAACAAATTAGTATAACTCTTGAACTGAAGTCAGGGACCACACAAAATCAGTTCAGGGGCCACAAATGGCCCCCGGGCCACTTTTTGGACATCCCTGGTCTACAACATCATTTTAAATAAATGAGCACAATCGGGGGGCTCAATTGGTAGAGCTGATGTCTCTCAGCAAGAAGGTCGCCGGTTCAAATCCCGGCCCGGGACCTTTCTGGGTAGAGTTTGCATGTTCTCTCCGTGCATGAGTGGGTTCTCTCTGGGCACTCCAGCTTCCTCCCACAGACCAAAAACATGACTGTTAGGTTAATTGGTGTCTCTAAATTGTCCCTTGGTGTGAGTGAGAGAGTGAATGGTTGTTTGTCTTGTTTGTCTCTATGTGGCCCCGTAGTGGACTTGTGACCTGTCCACAGTGTGCCCGCCCCTCACACTGTAGCTGCTGGATATGGGCACCAGTGACCCTGAAAGGAAGAAGCAGGTAAAAGATGATGGATGGATGGATGGATGGATGGATGGATGGATGGATGGATGGATGGATGGATGAGCACAATCAGATAAAAGGGTGCTGTGTTGCTAAAAATGTCAAGCTGTTCGTTTACATTTAAACATTCATGAGGACACTTTGGACCAAGGGTGGGCAATCCTGGTCCTCGAGGGCCGCAGCCCTGTTTTASTTTTTTMCCTGCTCCAACACACCTGATTCAGTCATTAAACCACCTCATCYAAGTTCTGCAGAAGCCTGATAATCACCCATTTGTTGTGTTGGAGCAGAGAAACAGGTAAAACATGCAGGGCTTTGACCCTCGATGCCCACTCCGGCTTTGGACTGTCCTGGTGTTCAACAGTTATAGAGTCAGTAAAAATAATCCCTGCATGTAAACAGAATCAGAGTCATGTTGGGGAGGAAGTTTAATGCAGAAGTTAAACCGAGCTGTTGAGAGATATTCCAGCTCTAGCAGGAGAATTTACACAACTAATCATTTAAGTTAGTTGTAAACAAAGGAGTGGGACATTTGCTGTTTTCTAACACAATTCTTACAAAAAGCCTGTAGAGTCTGAGTTGCATTAACTCCCCAAACAATCATCTGATGATRTAGAAATTAAAACAAATTAAAAACACTAAAAGTTTGTGTGTTTTGACTGCTTGAAGAGCCTCTGGAGATTCTTGAAAACTTTTCCACAAAAGGTCAATCTGGTTCTTGCTGTGTTTGTTTGTTGTCCGTCGGCGAAAGGCAAAGGCAGATGATTGTTTTTGCCCATGTCTCTCTCTCTGTCTGTGTGTGTGTGTGTGTGTGTGTGTGTCTTTGCCTTTAGATTTTTATTGCCTGTAGTCATGAAAGGCAGGCAATTATCACATTGCCTGTGTGTCTGCATCTGTTTGTWACCAAAATATCTGGTAAACCACTGSACCAATTTTAATGAAGCTTGCAGAATCAACGGATGAAGAGTCACAGGAAATCTGAGAAACTTTGTTAGTCAACCAAGTTCAAGATGGTTCCAGGTCCAAGCAATCTTAGAAATCACAAAAATGATTTTAACTCTTAATTTTACAGATATTGACCTAATATTTGGTGTGTAGCTGATATTAATCCCCAACACATGCACTGAGCTCTGACAGATGGTGCTAAATCTGTTTAAAAATTTACCATAAACTATTTGAAGTATTTTTGTCTGTTAGCAAAATATCTGATGAAACACTGCATTGAATACATTGAAACTTTTAGGAAAAAAACATTGATTCTTTGTGTAACCAAAACAATTCAAGATGGCCACAACTGCCAATTCACTAGCAAGGACCACACCATGGTAAGAGTTTAAAAATTTTATTGAAGGAAAGGGGTCGAAGGGTAGTGGGATGAATGATGAGGTGTCTGGGGAGGTACGTCGAAGGAGCTTGAGGAGAAGACTCAGAATGGGGCATGGTCTCCAGGAAGGATGCTTTCCTGAGTCTGCTTTGGACCCCACCCCCAGCTGGAACCTGAAAAGGAATGGATTAGGAGGTAGTTTGAGGTAGGGATGGAGGAGAAAGAAAAAAGCAGAGATGGAGAGATGAAGGGATGAGGAAGGGATGAGGGAAGGGATGAAGGGAGCGAAGAAGGTGACGCAATGAGGCCTTACAGAGGGGCTTAAGTGGGGTGAAAGGGGAGGGTGGGTGGCGAGACAGCGAGCTAAGGGCAGACGCCAGGTGAGGTGAGTTTAAATAGACGATGACTGATTGCTGCAGGTGAGAGGCGTGGTCCTGCTCCTGAACCTAAGTTAATGTCTTAATTTCATCTTACATTAAAAACAAATAAAAAAAATTAATTTCTTATGCTAAAATTTGATGTATTAGCTGAGGGTCACTGACGCATTGCAAAAAATATCCACCAATTTTAAAATCAAAAATAGACAACAGACATACATATATATATATATATATATATATATATTGATGTATTCTTGTTTTGAGACTGCTTTACTAAACAAGAACAGATTATGTAAGATATTAATAATCTTGTTAGCCTGGAAATTTGACTCAAGTTAAGTGAAAAATCTGCCAATGAAGTAAAACTATTCCACTTGGTAAGATTCTTGAAATCACTTAATTTGACTCAGGTTTTCCTTACATCAAGAATCTTACCAAGCGTTCTGCTAACAAGATAATCGTACACATTTTATTTAATTTTTTATTTTATTAAAAAAATTTATTAATTTCATCCATCCATCCATCCATTTTCTTCCGCCTATCCGGGGTCGGGTCGCGGGGGCAGCAGCTTCAGAAGGGAGGCCCAGACTTCCCTCTCCCCAGCCACTTCTTCCAGCTCCTCCGGGGGAACTCCAAGGCGTTCCCAGGCCAGCCGAGAGACATAGTCCCTCCAGCGTGTCCTGGGTCTTCCTCGGGGCCTCCTCCCGGTGGGACGTGCCCGGAACACCTCACCAGGGAGGCGTCCAGGAGGCATCCTTACCAGATGCCCGAGCCACCTCAACTGGCTCCTCTCGACGTGGAGGAGCAGCGGCTCTACTCTGAGTCCCTCCCGGAYGACCGAGCTTCTCACCCTATCTCTAAGGGAGAGCCCAGCCACCCTGCGGAGGAAACCCATTTCGGCCGCTTGTATCCGGGACCTCGTTCTTTCGGTCATGATCC